TTCAAACTTTTCATATCTCGTTTCCCATCCTACAAATCTTCAATAATTCGCGATCTCACTAATTCCCAGAATTGATCTGTCAACGACCCCTGTAATCTCGGTTCAAAAGAATGTTATCTTTACTTCCGTGCATGAAAAAGGGTTTCAAATGTAAATTTTTGAGGAAATCGGGTGCCATTCACGATGCATAAAAAGATGTCGTATTAGTATTCGATGGCGCAGATAAGATGATTTGACATCCACACACCCCCCTCGTGGCTTGTTTTCTTCACTAATGGGCTATCCCACATTGAGGATAAAGCCATACTCGTGGAGACAGGTAAGTTGTCGTCGTCGTCGTCGACACAAGAAGTCAGTGCACCGGATACCAATTCCCAAAGAACTCTTTGCCACGAACCCACCACCACCGCCGGAGTGGTTTCAACGCTGAAAGAGGATAAGAGTACGTGATGCGTGAGTGGGGCAGGGGAGTGGAATATCGGTCAGATCAACTTCCTCCTTCTTCAAGGAAGTGCAGTAGTAGTGGCTCCTTTATGAGTTCATGTGTGATAATCCCGAAAGATCTTGACGAGGGGGCATCCAGAACTTTCTGCTGCTTTTTTTCACTTGAAAGTATGCACTTTATTCATCTGCCAAACCATTTTGTAAATCTGTGTCCCTAGTTTTTGCAGACATTACTCTCACATATTTTATTTCCTGACACGACGTAATTTGCAAAAGATGCTGCCGAGATTTACTCTCGTCAGGATGTCAGGAGAGCTGTTTGCGTGTCTTCCCCCACCTTGAACACGTCAGTGTGGCTTGGTTTCTGCTGGGGCCTCTCTGGGGAAAGTTGGGCTTGACTTCGTCTTGGACAGCGGCCACTAAGGGTTCATTCACACCCAATTTTTTCCATTAATCATCACCCAACCCAGTTATACTGCCGAGCACCATACAACCCTCCTCGATTTAATTGACAAGCAGTATCTCCCCACACACAATTATTTTCCCCGCGTTGGCGGAGGAATGGGAGGAAGGAGAAAGTTCATTTAAGTAAAATAACAATTTCGCCTCTTTTCCAATAGCAACGTCCAATTAGGTTTCAAAACAAGTATTTTACCCGGTAGGGAAATTGAACTGCGAAATTGTAATCGGGTTAATGGGGTATTTTTTACAGCCGCTACCACCACCACCACCACCTCCACTGCATAATCATCATAGTCATGTTTATCTGGAGATACTTATACAATGCACAAAAGTCTTTCGACTCTGAGCAAACACGAAATAATATATCAACTCTATTTCTGTCTTCATTTTCGGGCGACATGATACGCAAATAAAGGAATAAAAAAGGGTGGAAAAACTGTCAAGCACAGGAGCGGCGTCGAGCGTCGCAGAACGTTCCTCTATCGGATTTACTTTCTTCTTGTAACCATTGCATTGGATGGCGATAGTCATCATCGTCGTCGTCGCCATCGTCGTCAAGCAGCAGCTCGTAAATACGAAGCGAGGATAATGCTCATAATGATTACAGCAAGATGATACGGGACCGTGGAGTCCGTTCATCGTCGTAATCAATTCATTGGCACAATCATTCGTCTCCCTTTATTCCAAATTGAAGGGTTTACAAGCACCAAGAAAGTCATCTGTTGTTGTCTACTTGTTGCTGCCCCCGCTGCAGATTTTGTTTTTCTCTCTCCCGATTTCGACGCCTTATTAGAGCGTAAGTTGTTAGTAATGAGTGAGAGGCTCCAGAATTTGATAGGCTTCTATTCCATTAAGAATAAAAAGCTTGGTTCTCCACTTTCTTCCTCATAATCGAATTGGTTCCATTTCCTGCCCACCGGCGGTTGTGGATGGATCCTGTTTCTGGCTCATTCCATTCCGTCGTTCGGAGAACGTTTTGCGTTCCACCCACTTTGGAATTTCTTGGCGGGATGGATGGACAGGTAGAAGATTATTTGGTTTACCGTGGCATCCGGTCTAGCCAGACTCTAATCATGCCGAGAAGGAGTGGCAGCAGGAGCAGTTGTCATTCTCATTAGAACAATAATGACGTGGTAATGGTGATGAAAGAACGAAGCGTACGTTTCACGAGTCGAAATTGAGGACACAATCACAATCATTCGTCTCAAGAAGAATGAGAGGGGGCTGCCTCCTCCTTTGCTGGGAGAATCTCATCTCACACACAGTTAGACGATGACGATGACAGGAATAGATCCCATTTTGGAGAAAGCATTCAAAATAATTCACGTCGAAATATAGGCCAGTCAGCCAGCGTGGTGGCAGGCAGGCGAGGATACGGCGTGACATGTATTTCCCCTATAAATTCGGTGACAGATTAAATTTTTCTTGTCACTCTGTGAAATTATCATTGCAGGGAAACAAACAGAAAGTATGGGACAACACGATTTCCCCCATTTTTGTGTCTAGACCCATTTCTTATTGGACCAGCGCCTCGTGTTATTATCGCCCAAATAACTACATATATACACACCATGCACACATATCTCTCCAATAATGAGAAGAGAGCAGACCAACTTAACTAGAAAACCACAGATTTTCTATTATTTCCTTAATACGACCACCACCATGCCACCCACACGATGAGGAGCAGTTCAACCATGAATAACTATGCGAAAAAAGCAATGTTTTTTTCCGGTCGGTGACAACATGCTTAATCGACACGCACGCACTACTTCTCGTAATCCTTCCTTCCATTCACATCATCGCCGTCACTTTCACTCCCAAACTTGGGTGCGTTGATGGCTCTGTTATTAAAGACGTAGAAGACGTCACAGAGATGTTCATCGCAGGCCAAAATTAAACTCTGACAAGCAATGCGAGCAAATTTACTGGGGTAAATTGATCGGAAATAATGAGAGACAAAGAAGGAATTTGTTTCAGTGGGTGGGAAAATGGGTGCGTTAGAGCATAAAATTGTGACAAAGATGTGTCACTCAGTCTCTTCCGTGTTGCTATTTTCCATAAGTGTGGAAGAATAATTTGCATTCCGAGGAAATTGAAATCATCTCCGGGGTCCTCATCACATAGGTGGTAGCGCAAATACCCAGCGAGCTAGTTTGGACCAGAAAGAATCAAAAGAAAGTGGGGCATGGTCCAAATACTGTTTTCCAACTTTTTTCTGAACACTTTCCTCCATCATCATCTAACACGTCGCAGGGTTGAAGATTGATGAGCCATTGTTGGAAATGAGACGCGATGAGCTTCTTCTTCTTCTCCCCCGTCGTCACAAATAGCGTCGTATCATTTCCACGATTGCAGCTAGATCTCACATTTCTTCAAACTCTAGGTGAGGAGACAACCTTGAGTAGTTGTAAGTCACGAGTGGATCAATTCTTTCCACAATCAATCAGATCCTGTGTCACCTATTTAATATCTCGCCAAGCAGGCAGCACGAATTAGGGGACCAAGTTTTTAAAAAGGAATGATCCCCGTTAACCGCTGACTATCGAGTTTTTTGTTATTGTTTTTGTTTCTCGGCAGACTTTGTCTCTAATTCCTTACGATAACAAGACCAACGCAGTATGAAGAACGATACAGTAATTTGAGAGAAGTGTTGATCCGACGGAGTGTCATTGGGGACATAAAGTGCAAAGAATTTAGGCCAGTGACAAGGGCACGTTCATTTAGTCACTACATACTTATATCCTCCGCAGCATGAGGATGAGGAAAATGGCACAGAAAGTGAGGAAAAGAGGTCAAAGGTAAATCTCCACTGTGGGTGGATGAATGGATGGCTATACGAGTGCTAGACACCTTCAAATGCAACAACTTTCTTTCCGCTGACCTGGAAAAGCTGAGATTGTGATTAACTCAACAGCAGCGTTCAATTATTACACACTGACTGGTTGCCGAGCTTGATTGAGAAAGTCGGCAGTTTTCATGGACATTGTGCCCGCCTGTCCCACTTATTATCAGTAGTTGCACTTTCTCCTCAAATGGTGTTAACACTGAAAATCATGAAGGTTCATCTCTTGACACTTTCCGCGCTACACCTTTTTATCCGGTGCCATTCAATATTATTCTTTGGGAGGGATGGTCTCAATTAATGTTAACGTAGATTAATCTCAAAATTAAAAATTCACAAAATATTAACTGTCAGCGTAAATATTTTGCACTTGGTCGTGGTCCTATTTATGTCACTAATGATGACACGGAAACGTTTTGGACCAGACAACTTGTGAAATTTATATACTTTGAGTAAAATTGAGTTGAATTTAGACTTACTTTAAGGCGTAATTTTAATGATTTGGCTGAAAAATTTGAACACAGAGATTTAACAAGGAAGATAAAGTTGGGAATAACTTACTTAAATTGTTGTTTTCTTTTGAGACTACTGAGACTGGATTTTAAAATTTGAACGATTGCGACTTTATTTACTTGCCCTCAAAGACTTCACACTGATGTGCTCAAAATGTGTAGTAAAAACTAGATTACAAACGTTCAGCTCTTTGGAGTTCAGCCTCAGTAAAATATCCCAATTAAAATGAAAGAAGGATTATCAAAATTAGAAAGAGTTTCGTACTTCCTACTCAGGAAAATGTTTACTTGTACTTTGAAACGAACTGGAGATTAGATTAAATCAGAAGGAATTAGAACGCGAGTGTCAGAAATTTACTGTTTTTTTTTATCTACCATTCTTTAATGAGTTAACTACTTCCGGGACATAACATAACAAAAACATCAGCTTCTTTCCAAAGGAAAAAAGTTACAAATTATTCAAATCCGTATTCTGAATAGTATTTCAATTCCCTTCCGCATAACGAATTAACGCGTCTAAGATAAGTTTCGCATTTACGATTAGGTAGCAAAGCAGGAGGGCTAATTTTTGTAGATCTTCTTATTAACGCACGACTAAATACATCCTTCTTGTCACAACATTGTATTTACAAGTCCTACTGACCGAATTAACTCATGAGAAAGGAAAATGATCACAAATATCTAACAACTTCCGATCTGTGTAATTCTCAACTCATGATTTGTTTTCTTTTTTATAGAAAGTTGGAGCGGAACGGACGGTGGAACGGGAAGCGAGTTAATCTGGATGGACGCTTCGTCGGAGCAGACAATCGTCATCATTGTCCAAACCATTCTCCTCATCATTTTCTGCGTATTTGGAACCATGGCCAACTCTCTCGTCTTTTGGGTATTCAACCGTCGACCAGCCCTACGATCCTTGTCCAACAGGTAAGAAGAAGGAGGAGAACCTTCTCTATTTTTCGTACTGCCTTCCCCAACAATAAATTTGATAACACAATCCCGTGTACACAAAGGCTATGGGAAGATTGCTTTTCCACTGGATCCATGCAGTTACAGGCTTAAATAGAATAATGGGGGCTGTCTGGCTCTGTTTACATGTCTGATATTCACCTCACGATGTTATGCTTTCCACCAAAATACATACTCGTCGACAAGTGAAAGTAATCAACTCTTGAGGCATGCAAGGGTTTAAGGGGGAATGTTTGCCTGCTGATTTTGGTGAATCCTGTGTATACCTAAGTAGGCATACTATTTAAGCATGTGGCTTAATGCGATGTCAGGTAGAGATATGTACGAGTTTCAAAAGGTGAACAGTATACAGAAACCTTGACTGTGGTCGCACTGTGCAAATATGTGCATTATGTCATCTGATAATAGTAAATCTTAACTTATGTCTGTACGCTTTCTCCTAAAGTCAAGGTTGTTTATTTTAATGAGTGAAAAATTGTGTCAAATATGTCCCAATTTTTAAGCGAGAAACTACTTCCTTCTTGCAATTTTTTATCCCTGCAAATGCACAGAGTCGATTTGGAATTCTGAGCACGACTTGAGCCATCAAAAGTAAAAAAGTGAGTTTCTTTCTCTTGTTCCATAATACGATTTCGAGGTAATGCAATGGGACGAATGAAACACTGTCGGAATTCGGTGTTTCCCTTTGAGATGTAAAATATAAAAATGGAATACATCATCACTCGAATTTAAATCGTGTGAAGTGGGTCGTCAGCCTCCTCCTATCCTTCATCATCGACTTGAGAGAGAATAAATGTAGATGAGGCACGTCCGCTCCTTGTTTTTCAATAATTCTGAGTATCCTGCTGCATGTAAGCCCGGGAGGCGAGAGAATCCATTTTTGCATAGATTGAGTTACACGCCATATTGTATTTTTCTACCTGAGAAAAAATTGCGAGAGTTGGAAATTGCTACCTTTTGATAACGAGGAATAAGATAGCTTTACAGGGAGATCGATCAGGAGATTCGTGTCTGTCTATATCGACTCCATGAGATTCGGGCGTTTTGAGGGAATATTATTCTAACCAGTGGCATTTCAAGTTTTTCTGTGCAGTATTATTTTTTAAAGAAACTTCAAGCCTGAGAATTAAGGTATTCCTTCGTCTGAGCAGTGAAACATGCTATTATTATACAGAATTAAAATTCATCATAATTTTGCTACCTTTCATATTTAAAAAGGGATGAGATCAAACAAGTAAAGCCTTGATTAAGTTGTCTGCATGCGGAGTGATGAGAACAAGTAAAATTTAAAGTCTGTTTCCCAGATAAGGTCAAGTTCAAGCTATTCAAGTATGTATGTTCAAGTATGTATATTCATACGAGCTTATGAAGGATAGATAAGGTCTGGCTTGGTATGTACGAGTATTTTCAGGTCACCGTGTACAACTCAACTCTCTGGCTTTACATTTGAATAATGCAAGACAAACAAACATTGGGTAAAAATACTCATCCTTCGTTTGAAGCACACTCCACTTTCGAGTGGAATCCACTATGAAATTTTAAACCCTCACTCGATCCATATCCGGGAACAAGTGTACAGACGTACACAGTATAAATTTAAATTTAATTAGTTTCTTATTCCTTCTCGTACATACACGTATATTTAAATATGCGTGAGTGGAAGTCATCACAACAGGCAGGCAGGTTGTGTCTGTGGTATTAGTGTCTCTCTCGTCCTAAGCCAGGCGTTGTTTGTCGGAATGATACTCAATATCCTACATGTCCAATTCAATTCTGACATGCCGAGCGAAATCTGCTTCGGCAGCACAAACTACTACGACCACTACTACTTGTCAGCCCGTGGTTATGCGGTCCTTTTATAATGAGGGAGCTAATTAAATTAATCCCATTGCTCTCATATTCATACGAACACAGCCACCGCACCCGCCGCAAGTTTACATGTATCGTGAAATGTTTATACAAAGTCCCTCGTTTCGAAAACTACTCTCTACTACTACTAGCTCTCCGTTCTTATCAAACCCACCTCGAAAACACAAATATAGACTTAAAATTAAAATAATAATCCGACAAGAAAAAGTATCACGGCCCACGTATCCATTTCATCGTGAAGAACGCGGTATAAGATTTCACAGAATTCTGAGTACTCATATTTATTATATGAGTCATATTGTTTGTGTAACCAAACAGTAATTAATTTTCCAAGTATTTCCCGCAGAAATTAAAATAACTGTGATGATGATGAAACCCATGCAGCATGGCAAAAATGTATAGTTTCGAATTTCACTTCAATTTTCATAATTGGACGAGGGAAGATGTAGCAGTGGTCGACATAACGAGTTCTGGGCGAGGAGTGTGATCATGGCGTCTAAACAAAATGAAGAGTATAATTCCCTCCTGATCTTTATGGGATGCTTTTCTTATTCAAATTTCTCCCATTCTTCGTTCCCTCTCTCTCTCTTCTAATGAAGAGCAGCTTTCTTTACCTGTTGCTCTGTAGAGGAAACCACCTACAAAATGAAATAGGATTACTGCCTCGTTCTCTTGTATACATAATTCAAAAGTCGTCGTCTCAACCAAAGAGAGAGAGACACGGTATGCTTAAAATGGAGATGACCTTCATTTGTGGGGTGATGGAGTTCCATATAACTTAGTTTTTGCCATATTTCACTGCGAAACGAAATGACGATTCCTTCCGTCAACAAGATGTGGTGAGAGGGACTGAGGCATGCGAAATTGCTGACTACGGAATCAGGAGGAAGCCTCGCTATGTATGCTGAGCGACCTACTTGAGACTTTATCACAACCAAATAAGCTGTCAACCAGCTTTTCCGACGTAAAATATACCTAGATTCGTCTGATAACTGCCAATATTTGCGGTACGACCGTTGTTGTATGCGTGATGGAGGGTGTGTACACAACGTCTTCCGCTCGTCGTCATATCCAATTTCTTATGTACCTGTTGCGCAACACGGACAAAGCTGACATTTCGCAAAGTCTCGTCTCTCCTGACTTGAACAGTAGACGAGACTGAAGGCAAACCTCAACACTTTGGATTAATCTCTCGTTTAATTAAGATTGAGGATTGAGGAAAGATCACCGGCTTAAAACAGCGGAGGGAATATATTGACATACATATTTCAATTAGGGTTCGTCCTTCAGACTTTATTTTAGTCGAAGACCGACCATGACGGCGTCCTCCATTATTCAATATTGCGCATCCTTATCGATAAAAACGTGTTCAAAAGCAGGGAGGCTGAGGATGAATGAGACATGAGCGATACATACGAGACTAGCTTGTATGCGAGTGCGAAAAACTTGCAATTTGCAATTTATTTGCAATGCATCAACACAATTGAGTGGATGGCCGGGAACGGGAGACGATATAACGAGATGCTCTCAACTTTCAATAAAGTTGACAAAGTGGTTGCTTCCACACGGAGCTACTGGTTGCGGGGCTAATGGTTTAGCGTCTCACCACAGCCTCGTGCGATACGACCGAACGTACGATATGACATGCACGTACGTACATTGGTTAAGTTTCATTTTTCGACTTCCGTGTAACTCTCGACCAAAAAGCGAGCAGATTTTACTTTGCCTAATCCCTCTGTCCGCTTAATTCTAATTAGCGTAAGCTTCCTCGCTGGAATTGAACTTTATCTTACACAACGGTTCCTGCTTTCCGAGAAAGTGAAGAAGATTTTGTTTTTCTACGATCATCAACCAACCAGATGGCATGTTGAATCACGCGTTCCTTCGTTTTCAGGCAGTATGGACGTAGTAATTGGCAAAGTTGGTTGTGCATGGATAACCTTCCTTCTCCGCCCACCTGCATTGGGATTAGATTCCACGATGTCTGGCAGAGGTAGGAGGAAGCAGTGTCATGGTGAATTTGGCATGGTGGTCGATTTTGCTTATACTTAAATCCATGCATTTCAACCTTTTCGGTTATATGTAAAAGAGTTCAAGTTTCATGATTTTTGCATGCAGGAAAAATAAATGTCAATTGCATTGCTCGATGATTTGAGCATCTAGTGCACGCATTGGTTAGTTTGGTTGAGTATTCATGGTTTGGCTGACTCAATTGTGAAGCGCTGTCCATCCATCGTCCATCCCGAACAAATGCCAATGACCCACTTTCACAACAACTTTCTCCAAATTGCGACTCCTTCTTCACGGCCTCCTCTTCCTCTCCATATGTGTCACTCACTCGACACAATTGGAAAACATGGCTGTGGCACCGCCTTCATTACGACGGGTTCCAAATCATCGTCCATTGTGTCCTTCAAGTTGTTTTCAACCTCTGCAGCAATAACGGGATAAAAGTTGTGTCTGCCAATCATGCCATTTACGAAAACTTATGAATCTTTATCGCAACCTGTTTCCCATCCATGCAAAAACATGCCAATTTTGAGAACAAGTCTGCCCCACTTTTGAGAGTTCAACCACGGTAGCGTTCCACTTTTGAGGAATGAAGGTATATGTATTCCTCCTGTAAAATGGGTCCAGATTCAAATCAGTAAACCAAACCGAATTTTGTTGCGTTGGGTTTGTTTGTTTGAAGTTTGGCATGAAATAAGTAAAATCGTATTTCACATTGCACGCAGGTTTACCCTTTCGACGAATCATTATTTCCAAGTTTTCTCCACAATAACTGGAATTAAACATTTGCATGTTCATCCTTGCGCTAAAATTATTTTCAATTTTTTTGAAAACTTTAAATTTCGCCCACTTTAATTCGTATTATTATAACCATCCCGTCCTCCTCGTCCTCCTATTCTGCCGAGAGAGAATTAATCAATACAATTTCCCCTCGTCAAGCAAATCATCCCGATAGCAGTATAATTATGACTGGAGGAAATACAAATTTGGCATTGAATTCCGATCGCGTCGAAGAGCATTTACCGCCGACCATTATTGTATCGCACATCGGTGAACAATCCCTTTTCCGATTATTATTT